CGTGCATCGATCCAGGTCCCGATCGTCGTTTGAGTCACGTTTTGTGTGGTCACGATTTATACTGCCCGTGACACTATGTATTTACATTTATGTTATAAATATTGATACAGCTGCAATATTTGCAATTACTCCGTTTGTCTTGTCCATTGACAGAAATGTAAAACTCTAAATCACTGCAATGAGGGACATTCTCTTTATTGTGTGTAAGCATCATGTAAAAGTAATGAAGTTATGTATTATAGATGTTTATTTATAAACCGAGTTGATTCAAAGTTAGATTAAACAGTAGTTTAGTAAATAGAAATAAAAAAGTTTTAATATAAATTTATAAAAAAGGAATATAGTTTTTATTAGGTATAAGTTCCAAAATTATGTTAAACCGCTACGTAGCGCTAAGGTTAGACAGGTTTTGGCTGGATTATGAACTTGTTCCTAACTAGTTTAGGGCTAGACCGTTTAAAGACCTGACTTTAATATACATACTTGTATACGAACATTCATTTTGCATTTGTACCTCATCACAAAGATGACTATTAGAATCCTTGAAATTTTTTATAATGCTTTGTAAAAAAAATTCGGTCAAATTGAAGGTAGGATCAGATTGCCGGATCACTTACGTATTTCAAAAAAAAAAAAAAAAATACATTATCAATTTTAATTAAAATTAGATATTCACATTTTAACTTTGAAACCCCTAATATCATCAAATCCTTGAACCAAGATATTATAATGGGCGTTCTCAAGCGCCTCAATTAATGGGCCAAAGTATGTCGAAAATATTTTAATTAACGAAAAGTATTTTTAATCGATCAATCGAGCTTGTCATTAAGATAAGTAAGGTAGTTTATTACATGAAAGAAAAAAATTTTAAAAGTAAAAAATGATCAGTGAGTTTATCATTTCAGTCAAAAAACTTTTTGTCCCGAACCACCTTTTTTTTTGCGCTGACTTACAAAAATTTATAAAAATTAAAGTGAATAAAGTATCGCTCAAGTGCTTTCATACTTTTATTATGAATTTTTATTATCTGCACACATTTATTGTAAAATTTCGATAAACTTTTTAAAATCCTCTCAAGCAGTGATTTGAGATCTTTATTTGATCTATTGTTGAAGTTGAACGTCACTACAATTATTAGAAAATCACAAGAATATTAATGTTTGAGCATATCTAAATAATATCGTCATTCGTATTATTGACTTTTGTTCAAATGTTATGGCAATAGCTAAAATTACGTCATAATACTTGTGCACCATTTCGATCACTATGAAATCGTATCTAGGTTGATGCTTGAGAATACCCAATGACTCAAAATAAGACTATTATTCAATCGAGTTACTCCCTCGAATAGTCTCAGCTACTGTGTTTTCATCATCCACTACAATTTAAGCCGCAAGTATAAATTGATTCTTAGTACATAAATGTTTACTTTAAATGAGTCGAGTGTTGAAACATACGGTAGTTTAGTAAAAACAAAGGTTTAATATAGGATATTATGATGAGATGAATATTAAAAAATTCAGTAAACCACATATTTCTGCTACTGTTTTTGAAATTATTATCAAATAAGTCACAAATATACTATTATCTATGAATTAAGATTATAGTTTACAATTCTCAAATATAATTTTTTTAAGCATTTTCATATTGAATTATATAGATATATTTATGGTGGTATCGTTTCATTTGATAAGATCGATGCATCAACAATTCTTGATCTTTTAATTACCTCTGATGAATTTGGACTTGAAGAATTAGTTGAAACTACATAATCACAATTGGTTAAAAATCATGCTTCATGGATGCGTCGGAATTTCTCTAAAACTTATAAACTAAGTTTTGAAAATAATAATTTTAACGGTTTACAAACATTTTGTAATGATATTATTGCTAAGCATCCAAGTATTCTTTTTGACTCTAAAGACTTTACAGATATTTCAGAAAAAGCTCTAATCTCTCTCTTAAAACTTGACAATTTACAAATGGATGAAGGAAAAATTTGGGATCATGGGGAAACTCGAACCTTAATCCTAATCCAGCAGAATGGTCTGATGCAGAATTTTTAACTTTAAAAGCTATACTCAAAAATTGTCTACCCCATATTCGGTATTTTCAAATTACTGGCGAGGATGTTTTGGAGAAAGTACAACCATATCATCGAATTCTTGAACCTAAATTATGGAGCGACATTACGGCAAAATTTATGAATCCAAATAAGATCATTACTTCAGTTATTTTACCCCCTCGAGTAGTCTCAACCGTTGAGTTGCCACCAAGAAATACTTCTACGACGACTTCAAGCCGTAAGTATAAATTGACTCTATTATTGATCTTTTTAATAAGTTGTAAATTATGATTAATGTGCCTTTTTTCCTTAAATATATGAATCCAAATAAAATCATTACTTCGGTTATTTTACCCCCTCGAGTAGTCTCAACTGTTGCGTTGCCACCAAGAAATACTTCTACGACGACTTCAAGCCGTAAGTATAAGTTGACTCTTAGTAAAACTTACTATTGATCTTTTTAATAAGTTGTAATGATGATTAATGTGCTTTTTTTTTCTTATATATATACATATATACATAAATTAGAAGGTAAGAAATTTTTGATATAGATCGAAACATAGTTTTATAATTCAAAATATTGTAGATTTATCTGCACAACCTCTAGAAACATATAAATTTTTTTGTTTAGTTTATTATTACATATTATAAATGTTCTAACAAACTTGGTTTAATTGGTTTTATATATCCTTTTAGCTTGTGAGTATAAAAATTTTTTAGATAACTAATTACCAGGATGTAAGTGTTAAATAGCATTTCAATATTATTTTTGTTCAAATTATCTTTTTTTTAATTGATTTTTTATATAAAATTGAAGGATAAAAATGATTTAAGTTGACAGAAATATTTCCGTTCAAGCTATTTTCGGATTAAGCCCACCCTCAAAATGGTTTGAAGGACACGACTTAAGAGAATGTGACTCCAGATTTTTCGGTTATTGGGGATGCGACTTATGTGGCAAAAACAAACCTACATTGGTAAAAAATTTTTCAATTATTAGCAGTTGCATGTAGTTAAATATGTATTTACATTTATATTATAAATATTGGTACAGAAATGCGGTTACTGCAATATTTGCAACTTCACCACTTGCCCTGTTCATTGTAGTCCTGGACAGAAATGTAAACCCGTAAATCATTGTAATAATGGACATCCTCTTTATTGTGAGAAATCATCTTCCATCTGGTACTGTGATGTGTGTGATACTCGCTATAAAGATGATGGTTGTCGTTTTAGATGCGAGAAATGTGATTACGATATGTGTTATAAATGTTTATTTGTGAATCGATTTGGTTAGAATAAACAGTAGTTTAGTAAATAAAAATAAAAAAGTTTTAATATGAGATTTATAAAAGTTTATAATTTTTATTAGGTATTTTTGTTCCATATGTACGTACTGTACGTACGAAGTTCCAAAACTATATTAAAGCGCTACATAGTAATAGTAATAGCGCTAATACTAAGGTTAGACCGGTTTTGGTTGGGTTATGAGCTTGTTCCTAACTAGTTCAGGGCTAGACCTTCTAAGGACTTGACTTTAACATACGTACTTGCATACGAACATTCATTCTGCATTTGTACCTTCTCTACAAAGATTACTATAGAATTCTTGAAATTTGTTAAGATTGCAATGTATTAATTGAAGTCGGACAAATACCGAATTATCTTGATGCTCTTATTTTCGTAATGAATTGGTTAAAGCAAATTGTGATGAGATGAATATTAAAAAAATTAAGTAATCGCATATTTCTGCTATTGTTTTGAAATTATTATCAAGTAAGCCATAATTATCCTATAACTTATGAACTAAGATTTTAATTTGCAATTATCAAATATTAATTTTGAGCGTTATTGTATTGAATTATATAGATATATTTATGGTGGTATTGTTCCATTTGATAAAATTGATACATCCACAATTAGTTAATACTGACTGCACAATTACAATTAGTTAATTTTGATAAAATTTGTAAATTAAAATTTGAAAAATAATAGTTTTAACGGTTTACAAGAATTTTGTAATTATATTATTGCTAAGCATCCAAGTATTCTTTTTGACTCTGAATATTTTATAGATCTTTCAGAAATATCCCTAATCTTCCTTTTAAAATTTGACAATTTAACAAATGGATTAAAGAAAAATTTGGGGTTATGTCATTAGATGGGAAATTTCTCAAAACGCGGGCCTGAATCCTAATCCTGCACAATGGTCTTATGAGAATTTTTAACTTTAAATTATAATAAAAAATTGCTACCTCGCATTCGGTATTTTCAAATTACTAGTGAAGATGTTTTGGAGAAAGTACTGTACAACAATATTATCAAATTCTTGAACCGCAATTATGAAAGATATCATAGTAAAATTTATGATCAAAATAAAGCTATTCAATTGTTTTACCTCTTCGAGTAGTCTCAACTACTGCGTTTCTATCAAGAAATACTTCTACTACAATTTCAAGCCGTAAATTGGTTCTTAGTAAAGTATGATTATTGGTCATTTTAATAATCTATGCATGATTATTAACGTGCTTTTTTTTTTCTTAAAAAAACATATATGAATTTGAAGGTAGGAAATTTCGATATAGACTAGAAAAAAAGTTTGTATAAATCGATAATATAAAAATCTATATAAAATTTTATTCAACTTTATAATATATTATAAATATTCAAAAATGCTTATTTAATTGGTTTTATACATTTTCCCAGTTCGTGAATATGAAGTTCTTAGATAACTAATTGGCAGAATGTAGTGTTGTATAGCATTTCAATGATTTTATTGTAAGTTTTTCTTTTTTTTATATTAACCTTTTGTAAACAAATTGAAGATAGAATCGAAAAATAATTAAGTTGACAAAAAACATCACCACGATGCTTTGAAGACACAATTTTATTGAATGTTCTGCTCCCGTTTGGTGGTGCGGCGTGTGTGGAAAAAAGTCCTATATTGATAAAAATTTTTTTAATTTTAATATATACATAGTATATAGATAAATATGTATTTACCATTCTAAATATTGGTACAGGAATTCAGTTAGTGCAATATTTGTAAATTCAATGTCTATTCTATCCACTGTGGTCCTGGACAGGAATATAAACTTATAAATCACCGTAATAAAGGACACCCTTCTGGATACGTATGTAACTGCAAAAAATGCACCTACAACTTGTGTTTTACATGTATTGAATATACAGTACGTAAAATTCTTGACCAACTTTTATACTATATTAAACTTTTTTTAAAAAAAAAAATTATACAATTTTTATTACAAATTTTTTAAAAGTTCAATAATCCAAAATTTATTTTTATTTTCTATAACCAAATATAAACGATAATTAGTATAATATTTTCAAGTTATAACACTAATATCGTTGCACCAAAAATAGTTTCCAAAATATTTATCTGAAAATTTATAGATTACTAAAATTTTAAAATACTGTAACGAACCTACTTAAAGGGGTACATTGTCATTTTGAATCGAGTGAATTAAATTTTATAACATCTTAATAAGCATAGGATTTCACATAAGGGTGAGACTAAAGGTCAAAGACAAGTGGGACTTAATGAAAAGGTTTGGATTATTCTTATTCTATTTTAGGAATTTTTCCTTTATTTAAATATATGAGCTTGCTTTCATACATTTTAATCCGTATGAAGGAGTCTGATGAATGCATTAGAAGGATCATATTATTACGCAGTCTCGGCTTAATATGCAATCATTCATAAAATTAGTATATTTCAATAATAAAAATTATAACAAATTTACTGGATGTAAAAATTCTTACATCTCTAATCATTACAGTATTTATTTCGCACAAACAAAATTGCAGACTAGGGTCGCTCTCAAGCGCCTCAATCAATGAGTCAAAAAGTGTCTGGGAATAAATTTTACTTAGCGGAAAATATTTAAAA